AAAAGAAGGAATTAGCAACACTGAAATCTCCAGAACAAAGGCTCTAATTAAGGTATGTATTAATGAGTGTCCTTGGGGAAGAAGGATAGAAGTAGGGAGGGACACTTTTATGTCCCTGGGAAAAAAGCAAAGGGAAGGCAAATATTTCAGAAGTCTGGCAGAAGAGGTGAATTTTTTTTTTTTTTATCTTTGCATGTCCTGAGTCCACAAACCTGCAGATATCTTAGTGGCTGTCCAGGGCTCTGACTGAGGGAGGCAAGCCATGCCATTTTCTCTGCAGGATGCTAGGAGGGAGTCAAAGCTCCTATAAGAGTGGGAAGAAAATACTTCTTATCACAAGGCATCTTTGTGCTGGTTACAAGGCTTCTATCAGACAAACCGTTACTCAGCTACAAGATAGTCTAGAACTTGAAAGTCAGGTGGCCTAACTTCTAAAAGACTGGAGTGTTTTTCCTCTACCCACAAAATAGCTAAATATGGAAGAGGAAAAAGCATTCAGAGTAGATGTAGTTTTGAGTCCTGGCTCTATGGCCTCCCTCTCTGTAACTTTAGTCAGTGGACTGATGGTCTCTGAGACTCAGATACAACCCTAACTCCAGAAACAGGAGGTATGAGGGCCTGCTTCACAGGGATTCAAGAGAAATGAACGAAAGAATGCATCTAAAACACCTTGTCCACTGTAATAAATGATGGACATTCTTAATACTTCACATAGATTTTACTGATGAGAGAGCATGGGGGAAGAATGGATTGGGGTTTAGCAGGAAGGATCTGGGGAAGGAATAAGTTGAGGACTTCCCCTTATTCTAGGTTATTAGGAGAGCCGAATAGAAGGAAGGCAAACAGAAAATTATTTTTTTTAAAACAACTGTTAGACAAGTGGGAAGGAAGATGTAGGAGGAGAGACTATTATTTTGAGAGATACTAGCTACAAAAAAAAAAAGACCCACCTCCATACTTCAGAAACTATGTTTTTAAACCCACTTTGGGTACATACTTAAATGAAATTAATATCTTTAAAAATGGCTAACTTGCTAGGCATTTCAAAATATAGAAAGAAAGGTGGCTTAGTGGACAGGGGTGTCTGAATGTTCAGAAGCCAAACACCTTGGAAAAATAATGTCCAAATTGAAAGCATCTTGAATGTGAATATCAATCTGAGAATTATCATGTTGTAATTGTTGAGTCTTCCCTCACATAAATATAGCATATGTTTCCTTTTTAATCGTGTCCTCTTTGATGACCTTCAACAAAGTTTCATAATATTTTACATAACTGAGCTGCTGTTTTTATCACATTTGTTTTTAGAAATCTTAGCAATTTTTGTTGCTAGTATGATTGGGATCGTTTTTTTTTTTTTTTCTATTGCATTTTTAAAATAGTTATTTATGGTGCTTATAAAAGCAGTGAAAAGAATGAACTGAACTCTTTAGAAGAGCGTGGCTGTATTTCTAAAACAACAGTGCGGGGAGAAGAAAAGTAAGATACAAAATGAGAGACATGACAACCATTTGTGTGAGTCAAAAGTGAGCACAAAACAATATTATATATTATTTAGGGGTACACTGAAGTATGTAAAAGGACAGGGGAAACTTTGGAATGAACCATACCAGACTGGTTTCAGTAGTTGCTTCCGGGGTCTGGGAATCGGTTGTGTAGTTAAAGAGAGCTCTGGCTTCAGCTGTATTGCATTAGAAAGGCAGGAAGAGAGGGAAAGAAAGAAAAAAGAACTAAAAGCAAATCTGACAATATGTTAGCAATTGCTAATTCTGGGTCGTGGAACGATAGGTATTTAAATTGTCTTCATAAATTTTGGCTTTTCTTATGCCACCCAATCCCCCCTGTATTGGTCAGCTGGGGCAGTTTTCAATTTTTAAAACATGTTAATAGACCTTATTGTTTAGAGAAGCGTTAGGTTTACAGGAAATTTGGATGGAAAATACAGTTTCCATATGCTCCTTCCCCCACCCCTGGACTCCTTCCTCTGTTTTGGCTGCCATAGCAATATACCACAGGCCGGGTGGCTCAAATGGCAGAAATGTATTTTCTCACGGTTCTGGAGGCTACAAGTCTAAGGTCAAGATGCTGATATATTGGGTTCCTGATAAGTGCCCCTTCCTGGCTTGCAGACAGTCACCTTCTCAATCTGACCCCCTAGGACCTTTTCTCTGGGCATGTACTGAGAGAGAGAGAGAGAGGTCTTTGGTATCTCTTCCTCTCCTTATAAGGACACCAGTCCAATCAGATCAGGACCTCACCCTTACAACATCATTTAACCTCAATTACCTCCTGAAGCTCTATCGCCAAATACCATCACAATAGGAATGGGGGCTTCAATATATGGGCACACAATTGTCTTTAACATCCTGCCCTCTGGCTTCCCAAAATGCATGTCCTCAAGCACAAAGTACATGCACTCCATTTCAACAGCTCCCAAAGTCTTAACCCATTCCAACATCAATTCTAGATCCAAAGTCTCACCTGGGTATCATCGAAATCAGGTATGAGTGAGACCTGAGGTATGATTCATCCTGAGGCTGAACTCCTCTCCAGCTGTGAGCCTGTGAAACCAGACAAGTTACGCGCTTCGAAAATACAGCGGTGGGACAGGCATAGGACAGACATTCCCATTCCGCAGGGAACAAATCAGAAAGCACAGAGGGGTGGTGGGTCTCTGGCAAGCCCCAAAGCTAGCAAGGCAAATTCAATTAGGTTGTAAGTCTCAAGAATAATCTTCGGGGCACCTGGATGGCTCAGTTGGTTAAGTGACTGCCTTCAGCTCAGGTCATGATCCCAGGGTCCTGGGATCGAGCCCCACATTGGGCTCCCCGCTCAGCGGGAAGCCTGCTTCTCCCTCCCCCACTCCCCCTGCTTATGTTCCCTCTCTCGCTGTGTCTCTCTCTATCAAATAAATAAATAAAATCTTTAAAAAAAAAAAAGAAGAAGAAGAAAAGAATCTTCTTTGTCTGGGTGCTCTGCCCTCCGGCCCCACTAGGTGGCAGCGTCACCTGAGGACCCCAGGCTGGGGCCCCGACCCCAGGGCACCGAGCGGGTGGGCCTCCTCCTGCCAAAGGGGAGGAAACAGTCTTACCCCTTGCATCTGTACGCACAGCGCTAGCCCTGATGATTTCTGTATCTTCAGGGTCATTCCTCCGTTTTCTTGAAGGATAAAATGTACTCGCAGGCATATGGCTCTATTGTCCCATCCTATAGAATCCTAGAAGTCCAGACGCGTTGGTTCATTTTGTCCCGTCTCTGCAGCTTTGGACCAAACCGGCAGCGTCTCTCCCCCTAGCTTCTGTTGAAACGGCTGATGAACTCCATGGGTGCCCTCTGTGTGGAGTGGTCCTCCAGCCACACCTTAGGCGTGCTCTCCAGAAACACTTCCTCATTTCTGTGGTACGGACAGACTTCCAAATCTTCGAGTTCGGATGCCTCTCTGTGTTAACGACTCCTTCAACTTACCTCTCTCCTCTAGCATTTTACGATAATCGGCACAGAGAAGCCAGGCTGCCTCTTAACCTTGGTTTAGGAATACCCCAGACAAATATACCCAATCTTCCTCAAAACACTAGAACACAATTCAGCCAAGTTCTCTGCCATTTATAGCAAGGATCCGATTCCTCCACTTCCAATAACATGTTCATTTCTGCCTGAGACCTCACCTTTAACATTCATATTTCCGCCCCCGTTCTGTTCACAATGATACCCGTAATCTCTCAGACGATGGAAGCTCTCTCTCCAGCCTCCTCTCTTCTCCCGGAGCGCTCAGCATAATCACCTTTACCATCCACATTGCCACCAACAGGCAACCTCGGCTTTTTCTAGCATGCGCCTCAGGATCCTTCCGCCTCCACCCATTAGCAGCTTCCAAAGCCACTTAGGTATTTGTTACAGTAGCACCCACTTCTCAGTATCATAATCTGTACCAGTCAGCTCAGGCTGCCATACCAAAGTGCCCCGGACTGGTGGCTTAAACAACAGAAATTAATTTTGTCACGGTCCTGGAGGCTAGAGGTCCAAGATCAGGGTGCCAACAGGGCCGGTTTCTGGTAAGACCTCTCTCCCTGGCTTGCAACCCTCCCTCTTCTTGCTGTGTCCTCACTGGTCTTTTCCCTGTGCGTGCAGAGAGAGGAAGAGAGAGAGAGAGCTTGCATGCTCGGGTGACTCTTCTTCTTATAAGGACACCAGGCCTATGGATTGGGGCCCCACCCTTATGATATATTTAACTATAATTACCTCCTTCCTGGCTCATCTCCAAATATAGTGACCTAGGTGGTGTCTTGGCCAGTTTGGGCTGCTATCCCAGAATAACGGAGACTGGGTGGTTTATAAGCAACAGAAATGTAATTCTCGCCACTCTAGAGGCTGGGAAGCCCAAAATCAGGGTGCTAGCAGGCTCTGATGAGAACCCTCTTCCAGGTTGCAGACCACTGACTTCTCCTTATAACCTCACATGGCTTGAGAGCCGAGAGAAGAAGCAAGCTGTCCTGTGATTCTTATAAGGGCACTCATCCCATTCATGAGGGCTCTACCCTCATGACCTCATTTAACTCAATTACTTCCCAAAGAACCCACTGCTTAATACCATCACAAGGTGGGGTAGGGCTTTAACATAGGAATTTTGAGGGGTGCCTGGGTGGCTCAGGCATTAGGCAGCTGCCTTTGGCTCAGGTCATGGTCCCGGGGTCCTGGGATCGATCCCCGCATTGGGCTCCCTGCTCAGTGGGAGGCCTGCTTCTCCCTCTCCCACTCCTCCTGCTTGTGTTCCCTCTTCTGCTATCTCTCTCTCCATCAAAATAAATAAATAAAATGTTTTTTTTAAAAACATATGAATTTTGGGAGGACACAAATGTTCAGCCTGTAACAGGGCTTTAGGGCTTCAAAATATGAATGAGGTGAGGGGAGGCAGTTAGAATTCAGTCTATATTTTTAAATAAAAATATTTTTAAGGAATGAATCTCTCTTAGGTGCCTCTCTGACCTGGTCCTTCTGCCTTGATGGATTATACACTGGAGCCCAATGTGACCACAGTAACCGACTACTACTATCCTGATGTCATGGCAAGCCCCTGTGATGGGGAACTTATCCAAAGAGATAGCAAGTTGCTTCTTGCTGTCTTTTACTGTGTCTTGTTTGTATTTGGTCTTCTGGGAAACAGCCTGGTCATCCTTGTCCTTGTCGCCTGTAAGAAGCTGAGGAGCATCACCGACATATACCTCTTAAACCTGGCCCTGTCTGACTTGCTTTTTGTCTTCTCCTTCCCCTTCCAAACCTACTATCAGCTGGACCAGTGGGTGTTTGGGACTGTATTGTGCAAGGTGGTCTCTGGTTTTTATTACATTGGCTTCTTCAGCAGCATGTTCTTTATCACCCTCATGAGTGTGGACAGGTACCTGGCAATCGTCCATGCTGTCTATGCCATGAAAGTGAGGACAGCCAGGATGGGCACAGCCCTCAGTCTGGCTGTGTGGCTGATTGCCATCATGGCCACCAGCCCATTACTAGTACTGTACCAAGTGGCCTCTGAAGATGGCATTCTACAGTGTTATTCATCTTACAATCAACAGACTCTGAAGTGGAAGATCTCCATCCACTTTGAAATGAATATCTTAGGTCTGTTGATCCCATTCACCATCCTTATGTTCTGCTACATTAGCATCCTGCACCAGCTGAAGAGTTGCCAAAATCACAACAAGTCCAAGGCCATCAAGTTGGTGCTCATTGTGGTGATTGCATCTTTACTCTTCTGGGTCCCGTTCAATGTGGTCCTCTTCCTCACATCTCTGCTCAACATGAACATCTTGGATGGATGTGTCCTGAGCCAGCGGCTGATTTATGCCACCCATGTCACAGAAACCATTTCCTTCACTCACTGCTGTGTGAACCCTGTGATCTATGCTTTCATGGGTGAGAAGTTCAAGAAACACCTCTCAGAAATATTCCGGAAGATTTCCAATCATATTCTCTTCTTCAAAGGAAGACAAATACCTAGGGAGAGCTGGGAAAGATCCCCCTCCTCCTGTCAGAAGCCCCCCTGTTCCTCCAGCACAGACTACATTTTGTGACAGGGTGCTTCTTTTAGGAGACAAAAATGATTTACACTGGAGTCTGAGGCTACATGAAGGGATACTCTTAGAAATGTGGTTACAGACACGGCATATTTCATGATAGTTAATGAACTCTGACTATTGCAAATTAATCTTCTCAACTTTCAAAGATTTTGTTACCTTTTTCTGGAAATAGTCTATATATCTCACCATTAAGTATAATGTTAGCTTCGGGATTTGTTTTTTAGTTTTTGTAGTCTCTTTACCATATATCAATTTAAATTTTATCAAACGCTTTTTCACATCTATTAAGGTGATCATATAGCTTTCCTCTATTATTCTGTTAATTTGGTGAACTACATTGTCTGATTTTCTTATTTTAAATCAACCTGTATTTTCCCTGGAAAAAAATGACCTCTTGTTCACGATCATTTTAATAAATAATTGGATTCTCAGAATTTTCATATCTGTGTTCATGAGAACTATTGCCCTGTAATTTTCCTTTTAAAATGTCCTGGTGAAACATGCAGGGATGTCCACTATCACCACTGCTGTTCAACATAGTACTAGAAGTCCTAGCCTCAGCAATCAGACAACAAAAAGAAAAAAAGGCATCCGAATCGGCAAAGAAGTCAAACTCTCATTCTTTGCGGATGATATGATACTTTATGTGGAACACCCAAGAGAAATCACCCCAAAATTGCTAGAACTCATACAGGAATTCAGCAGTGTGGCAGGATATAAAATCAATGTACAGAAATCAGTTGCAACGACGTGGATGGAACTAGAGGGTGTTATGCTAAGTGAAATAAGGCAATCAGAGAAGGACAATTATCATATGATCTCACTCATATTTGGAATTTAAGAAACAAAACAGAGGATCATAGGGGAAGAGAGGAAAAAATAAAACAAGACGAATTCAGAGAGGGAAACAAACCGTAAGAGACTCTTAATCATAGGAAACAAACTGAGGGTTCCTGGAGGCGAGGAGGGTGAGGGGATGGGGTAACTGGGTGATGGACATTAAGGAGGGCACATGATATAATGAGCACTAGGTATTATATAAGACTCATGAATCACTAACCTCTACCTCTGAAACTAATAATACATTAAATGTTAATTAATTGGGGACACCTGTGTGGCTCAGTTGGTTAAGCATCTGCCTTTAGCTCAGGTCATGATCCCGGGGTCCTGGGATTGAGTCCCACATCGGGCTCTTTGCTCAGCAGGGAGTCTGCTTCTCCCTCTGCTTGCAGCTCCCTTTGCTTGTGTTCTCTCTCTGTGACAAATAAATAAAATCTTTTTAAAAATGTTAATTAATTGAATTTAAATAAAAATTAAATAAAATTATAAAATAAAATAAAATGTCCTGGTCAGATCTGCAATAACATGGATGAACCAGATGTATTACGTTAAGTGAATAAGTCAGAGACAGAAAAACAGATATCATGCAATTTCACTTGTATGTGGAATTTAAGAAACAGAACAAATGAACAAAAAAAAAAAAAGAGAGAAACAAAAAACCAGATTCTTAAATACGGAGAATGAACTGGTGGTTGCCAGAGGGGGGATGGGTGAACTAGAGGATTAAGAGGTACAAACCTCCAGTGTTAAAATAAACCAGTCAGGGAGAAGAAAAGCACAGCATAGGAAATACAGTCAGTAATGTTTTTTGGTGACAGATGGTGGTGACTACACTTACTGTGTATGATCACTGAGAAATATACAGAATTGTTGAATCACTATATTGTATACCTGAAACTAATATAATATTGTATGTTAATTACATTAAAAAAATGTCCTGGTCAGATGTGATCTCCAAAAATGTGTTGGAAAGTATTCCTTTTGCCACTACTCTCTGAAAGAGTTTGTGCAAAATATTGGGTGTTACTTCCCCCATAAAAGTTTGGTAAAATCCATTAGTGAAGCCATCTGGGATTTCTCTGTAGCAAGATTTCCAATTATGCATTCAGTTTCTTTGGCAGATAAAGATTATTTAGATTTTCTGTCTTGGCTTGTCTCAGTGTTGGAAGGTTGTGATTTTAAAGGCATTTTCCCAGTTTAAGTTGTCAAATTAGCATAAAGTTGTTCCTAATATCTTCTTATAGCATTTTTATGAGAATATGAAGTAATGTCCTTTTCATTCCTAATTCACACCAAATCATTGGTGATTTGTATTTTCTCTCTTTTTTGTTCCTGATCAGTCTAATGAGGTTTACGAATTTTATTAATCTTTTCAAAAAAACAGCTTTTGGCTTTGTTGATTTTATGTTTTTGTCTTTACACTGATTTCTGCTCTTATTTTTTTAAGATTTATTTATTTATTTGAGAGAGAGAGAACGAGTGGGGGAGTCCTGAGGGAGAGGAAAAGAGAGAAATCCAGCAGACTCCCCACTGAGTGTGGAGCCTGAGGGGCTCCCCCCACCCCGCCAGGGCTGGACCTCACGACCCTGAGATCATGACCTGAGCCAAAAGGAAGAGTTTGGATGCTTAACTGACTGAGCCACCCAGGTGCCCCTGCTCTTATCTTTATCTTACCTGCTTTCCTTAGGTTTAATTTCTATTTTATTCTAGCTTCTTGAAATGGAATCTTAGATTACTGATTACCAACCTTTGTTCATTTTTGAAAGATGTCTTTAGAGCTACAAAATTTCCTCCAGCGTTGCTTATATTGCATCCCATACATTTTCATACAATTGATTTTCATTGATTTCCAATTTAAATTATTTTCTATTTTCCACTGTGAATTCTTTTTTTTTTTTTTAAAGATTTTTATTTATTTATTTATTTATTTATTTGTCAGAGAGAGAGGACAAGCAGGGGGAGTGGCAGAGGGAGAAGCAGGCTCCCCACTGAGCAAGGAGCCCAATATGGGACTCGATCCCAGGACCCTGGGATCATGGCCTGAGCCGAAGGCAGACGCTTAACCGACTGAGCCACCCAGGCATCCCATCCACTGTGAATTCTTTGTATCATGAGTTGTTCAGAAATGAATTTAAAATTTCCAAACATTTGGGAGGTGGGGGGGCGCCTGGGTAGCTCATTTGGTTAAGTGTCTGCCTTTGGCTCAGGTCATGATCCTGGAGTCCCAGGGTCCAGCCCCACATTGGGTTCCATGCTCAGTGGGGAATCTGCTTCTCCCTTTCCCTCCGCCCCTCCCCCGATCCTTCTCTTTCTCTCTTGCTCACTCTCTCTTTTTCTCTCAAATAAATAAATAAAATCTTTTTTAAAAAATTTCCAAACATTTGGGGATTTCTTTATGCTTTACTTTCTAGTTCAACTCCACCGCTCTCAGAGAATATATATGTGTGCATTTGGTTTTTTGAAATTTACTGAGAATTGTTTTATGACCCCAAATACGGTTTATTATGGTAAATGTTCCATGTACACGTGAAAAGAATGGGTGTATTGAGTGGTTGTTGGAGCTGTTTAATCAGATTGCTCTTTATTCTTGCTGATTTTTGCTGTTTGCTTATTCTATGAGTCACTGCAAATAGTATATTAAAATCTTGAAGTGTGATTATGAGTTTGTCTATTTTTCATTTTAATCCCATTAAATTTTGCTGTATATATCTTGAAACTATGTTATTAGGTACATGCAAATATAAGATTTGTATATCTTTCTATTGAATTGACTCTTATCATTTTTTAAAGTTTATTTATTTATTTATTTGTAATCTCTACACCCAACGTGGAGCTCAAACTCATGATTTCAATCAAGAGTCGCATGCTCCTTGGACTGAGCCAGCCAGGTGCCCGACTCTTTTATCATTATTAAATGTTTCTTTTCCTCCAACAATACTCCTTGTCTGAAAGTTTGCAAAGGTCAGTATTAATATAGCCACACCAGCTTTCTCTGGATTAGTGTGTGTGTATTGTGTTTCTCTATACTCTTCTACTTCAAAACATTTTCTTATGCTTAGTTTCTCTCCTATAAACAGAATTTAGTTGGGGCTTTTTTTTTTTTCTTTTTGCACAGACAGGGTTTCATTACCATGAAGATACATAATATGTATAAAATCTAAAAATCACCTTTAGATAGACTATTCTGCTGGATCCCATTATATAGTATACAAAAGGTTGATTTCTGATTTCAGAACAATTTTTTCTTTTCTTTTCCAAGTTAACAATATAATTTCAATAACAGATGATACATTCTGCAAAATTGACACACATTATACTGACCATATTGTAAATAAATGCCTGGAGGGCAGCCTACTCAGTTTAGGAAAGCATCCAAACAGTTTTATCTTGAAATGTTTAAATAGGTGCTTAGGATTCACACACCACTCCTCCAAAAAGTGTAACTCCTGAAAAACATGAGAAGGTTGCTTCTTTCTCCTGCTTTAGACACAAACTGACTTTATTCTGACTCCTGTGAGCTCCATTATTGTGTTAGGTCACTAATAACAAAAGACAAACTCCTCATTCTGAATGTCCAGACACTGAAATTCCAGTTAAATTTGTAACCATGTAGCAATTTCCTGATAATCTGTGTCTTGGTAGAATTTTCATTATAAGTCATCTCGGTGCTTGGTAGATCCTCTTTTCTTGGAGTAATTTCTTACACTGATGCAAGTAAGTGTGATATGTGCTTAATTAATAGTTGTTGCATGAATAAAGGAATGTGCCCCTGAAACAAGACAGGGTTAAGAACTAGGGTGAGGTAGGTACACAGGACTTGTACCTGGCTCTCAGGCTAATGCAAGCCACACCAGAGAGGTGGGAAATGCTCTGGGACACAGAGCATCTTTGAGGAAAATGCCCACACATAAGCAAAGTTTTGCCAACAGTTCTGCATTATTCAGAGCCCCCCTCCAGCCCAGGTTAGGCACTCCTGATAGAGAGGTTCAAACTTATCAGGGACAGCTTTAACAATCCTAGCAAGGTCTGCCTCTTTAAGAAACTGCACAGAGCACCAACCTGAAAGTCACATCCATGACCCACACACCATCTTGTCCATGAGTTCTTTATAAAGCTCCACCATGGTGGGGCTCCAGGCAGCACTGGGATGGGGA